AGAACATTAAGACAAACACCTTCTTAGCTAATGATGCTAATGTAAACTTGCTGTGAGCCGCCTTGTCTTCACTCCCAGCCTGCAGAGCCTCAAACAAAACTTCGTGTTTCACATTTGTTTTAATGTTTCACATTTTGCAGCCATGCCACAGAATATTTGTTGCATAGCCAATTTTCTTTGAATTCGCCCTTCCCTGCGTCATTGCCAACTAGCATCCAGACCACAATATAAAATATGTGTTCTGCTTTTTTAACAATGTTTTCTAACAATGTTTAGAAAAATCCAACTTCCTATGTCTTACATTTTAAAACCAATTAATTCATTAACTCAATGTCTTGTGTCCCTGTGGGACCCTTGATGTTGCATTCCTCCAACTCTTTGCCATGCAAGAGATGCAAGGTCGGTTTCTACAAGCATTTTTGATGTTTGGACTGGTAACACTTTGCTATGAGAAGTCAGGTTTGTTGACTTTTGGCAATGCACACTGTGGCATGTGATTTTAACCATAGAAGACAAAAGTATAAGCAGGAACCTTTATTTTTTAGGGGGCGGGTGGGTGTTATATTTGACAGTGCCAACAAAACTTTTGCACTGACGTTTCCCACAGTTTCTTTTTCTTGGAAGCAATAACACTTTATAAAACTGTGGAAGTGATTCTTAATGACAACACTTGCCAGTTGGTTTTACGAGTCTGACCTTGAGACACTTGATGGGTTCGTTATTGGTTAATTATTACAAGCGCAAAATGCTGGGGCACTACTCTAGTGAGCAGAGCCACTCCAATATTGGTTGTTGCACCATAAAAACTTGCAGACCGTGTGTGTTCGCCACAGTTTCCTGCTCTTATCTTATCTGCAGAATGTCGCTGCAGCAGCACAACCTGCCATTTCCCCAAACTGTAATGATGTGGGGCGTGCTGCCACCAGCTAAGGGAGGGGGGTAGCCCTTACAATGTGAGACTGCAGAATGTCTCGAGCTTACTGAGAGGCCAACGCACTGAGGTCATGCACGCCTTAAGTTTCAGCCATAATGCACTGAGCTGATTATGAGCAGAGGATGTTCCGCGCACTGAAAGGAGGGAAAACGACCCTCCTTTCTTTGAACTCTGCTATTGTCTCATACCTGAAGCATGATATGAAGCCTGACAGCCAGAGTAAATCAAAACAGATTTACCCCCCCACTCTTTTAAATGAAGCGTGAAGTCTGACCCTGCTTTGGGTAGCCTTTGACATGGCCCAAACCACTAAAGAGATGGTCCTGTTACAGCTTTGCAGGAAATGCTGTTAACAATTTATCACAGTATCAAATACAACTGTAAAGGGAACTAAACTATTATTAGCAGATATAGTCAGACAGCAAAACCACCATTTACATCCTGTGCGATTACCAGCATTATTTATCTGTCATCATTAAGGGAGTAAATCGAATTTATTTCCCATTTCAGTGAAGTATCCAACCACGGGACATAAACAAATCATCATCCATAAGACAGGAACCTTGGAAACGGGGCTTGAACCGTTTTCACGTGAGTGGTAAACGACTGATACTATGGGATCAGAAAGGAATTTACCGAGTGAGCCTGCTCTTCCTCTGCACCACTTAATTCTGTCTACAGCAAAGCAGGGTTTCCATTTCAGTTTTACGGCATTAAAACATCTTTACTGAATCTCAAGTCTGGCTTCAGCTCAGGCTGACAGTAATTTTAATGGTAACAAACATTCATATCTCCGTGCTGCCAACAATAACACAAGATACTTGCGGTTACAAAAGGCAAGTTTTGAATCCCACCAATAGAGATTGAAAATGTGACGTCACTCAGGGGTAAAACCGCAAAGAATTCTGGGAACTCGTGGCAAGAGGTACTAGCGCACGCAGGCTTTCAATTGAAATCAGTTACACAGCGATAAAAAGAAACAAAAAATGGCAAGAAGCTGTTGTATTATTAACTGCAATAGCCGGTCGCATGACAGCCACGGAAAGCCGACGGGTAAAGAGATTGGTTGTTATCGGATTACGTCGTTGAAGAGAAATTGTTCGAGCCATGTTTCCGAAGTAACAAAGAGGCGACGGATGGCCTGGATTGCAGCCATTCAAAGACCAAATATAACATCCCAGAACACTCCAGCTCACAGGTTAGCCTGCTCCAAGCATTTACACAAAGGTCAGAGTTTTGTAGTAGTTAATACGTCATTTTCATAACATAATTAGTGATATAGGTTACAAGCAAGTCTGGCGCTGAACAGAAATTGTCGCGCTATGGTCCTTTATTTATTGTGCATAAATAGTGAATTGTCCTGACACAATATTGCGTTTTGCTTCTGTTATTGCCATGGTACATTGACAAAAACATATACTTTTATTCACAGGATAAAACAGTTGTTTTGTATCACTAATTGCCCAGTACGATTACAGCATACAATATTATTGTCACTGCTACATTTCTGTAATGCTACCAGAAATTATTTCTACTACTAATTAATTACCATTGAGCTCAAAGGTCCTATTAATAAACTGTTAACGAATGTGTATTTATGAAGACGATTTGTGAGACTGGTAAACTTATGATAGGTACGATGGTCTTTCGTTCTACACGGTGCATTTCAAGGTCCTGTACCCATCCGTCGGTAAACTGTACCTGGGCTTGTTGCAGTGACCTGAAGTTACTAAACTTCACGAGTGTATGCACTCACTCCAAGAACCGTATAATTATAAATATGAGCGTGGTGAAGTTGGGCAGCACGCTAACGTATTTTGTCCCTCTGTGTGCTCGTAAGGGTCTGACACTTTCACTGGTTTCATTTTTTTCCTCGTATCTTTTCTTTGACTTTTCATCAAGTCTGTCTTTGTACGGACCGGCATTGTTCTCCTTCGTTTTGTACATACCTTTTTGGGGGACAAAGAAAAAGCAAGAATTTATTGGAACCGAAGAATGAACGTTTGCGGTGCTGCAAATGCTTGCATTTGATGTAGGTACTTGGATTGTTTTGCCACGAGTTACCGGCATGCAATGCGCGAAAGTCACGTGGTCTGTCAATCTCTATAAGACTCATATTCCACGAAACTGATTTGTGACGCACATATCGGAGGACGTAAACATTTCAAGAACTTGTCCTGTGACAACTGGCTGAGATTGTGCATTATTTTTAAAGCATGTCAACTTTGCCACACAGTAATAGTAAAACAGTTGCTTTATTCAGATTCAGTGTGGTGTGTGTGTGTGTGGGGGGGGGGTGTCTATCATCTCAGTCTCTATCAGCGACAAAAAGCCGCTCATTGAGGTCAGCCCTGCCTAAAAACCCAGACATACACCAGCAAACTATTGTAAGGAAAAGCCACATGTGTGTATGTAGCACACAAACCTGGACAAGCTTTCATTCACATCCTTTCAAACCCAGGGATGCAAGACAATAAAATCTGACCGAGACAGACGTGTTGCGGTACTCCTAATGACATTTACTATCACAAAGACAGAAGCAAAAACCCCACACAAACCTTATTAAAAAAAGACTGAGACTTGTGTGAAACTTGGGATCAAATTTCTGTCTCTTTGACAGCTACACCCAACTCAAATTCTAATGAGCCATTGTGGCCCCAAAATAAAAAAGCTGATCTGAACATCCTCTTAGTATGCAAACGAGAACTCATAAAGGGCTTTATGATAATAAAGAGAACATATGCACATTGGCTCACGTAGTCAGATGGAATAATGCTGTGAGCACTTCGCCAAAAACAGTTATCCAAGTTGTAAAAATAGCCTTTCTGCTAATTAAGCTCTTTATGAGGGCCAAAACCTACATATGTATTTTTTTCCCCAAGTGGGAAACAAGACCTAAGCTTCCCCCCAGATGACTTACTTCTATACTGTCATACACCATGCTGAAGCCACTCCAAAACTGGCAAACCTAACTTCACCAAATGTTGCGTATTTATTTTAAGTGCCATTAAAATTAAAAGGAAATGAGTGGCAGTGAGGGGTGGGTGAAAGTATGCAGGGCACATAGGAATTTCAACCCCCCAACCCCTCCCCTTGTTGCCCTCAAGGATTTACTGTAAACGCCCCCACCCCCCTCCTTCAAGGAAAGTTTCCATTGCTTGGGCTTATCTCATGATTAGCATCATTGATTTGCCTTTTTGCCTCTCTGATTATTAACATGTCTGCTTCCATTATTACTTAGCACTCTGCATCCTGTGACTGGTCTGGAGGTGGATTTGGGAGATAAACAAATAAAATTAAAAATAATTCAGCCAAGCCTGGAGAGAAAGAAAAATCCATAAGCTCTTTTTTCCACAATGCAGAGGAATGTTTACTAAATCGCTGCCGGCGGCCTGTGCTTCACAGCCATGGGGGTCTCTACTGAGGAAGCTTGGAAATAAACATGGGCCTGGGTTCTTTCTGTGTGGAACAGAGCCTGTGTGTTGATTATAGCTCTTTATTGTTATGAATTACCTACAAGTATTTCCTAAATGATGACTCTGTTTACACACTGGAGCAGTGAAGTGTTGCCAGCAGCACTAAGCCAAAAGAATGCATTCCCAAATGTTTCATTGCTACTTAATAATTGAGGAAAAACACAGACCAAAAGAAAATGAAAAAAGCAGCATGTCAGTATGATTAACAACGCCTCTATATCAAATCTGGAATAAGCACTAAATGTCCATTTACAAAAGTGACCGTTTAATCATTTGCTGTAGAGGTTGTTATTTGTGGCAGTGTCAAAAAGCAGTTAGGTAGTTTTTGGCTAAAATGGAAAACATGAGTGTGGTTAAAAGATGTCTAAATGTCAGGTTTGGATTGAAATATTGGAGTTAATTTCACAGATTTGAAGCTAAACTCTTCAAGCTAACTTTGCTAGCTTAAAAAGTTCTCTTAGCTAGGACCACCCGGAAACCTCTGCAAGACCCACCGGGGGTCCCCGCTCCCTACTTTAGAACCCATTGGGTTTTAAGGTTAAACTTGAGATATATTTGTATATACACATATAAATAAAAATGGGTCTCACCGTTGACTCCTTTGCTGGGGACGTCGTTAACGTTGAAGCCTTTGGAGCTGTAGGCAGCACGAACTTCATTACAGTTGTTCAACTTTTGCTCCTCAGTCCCCGACACCACAGCCACCGTCCACACGACACACAGCGCCAACAAACTCTTCATTTTGGGCCAGGCGAAGACAGAAAAATAAGAAGCCTAACAGCGAAAACCGCAAAAATGTTAAAGTCGCTCAGGTGTGAGTGTGTGCACGGCTAGGACAAAGTTTCAGCGAGTCCACGGTCGAGTTTCCTCATGGAGACGCGCTGATTTCTTCGGCTCAACAGATACTTCATTCACAGCAGCAGAGGCCGGGAGAGCAGAAAAGACACCGAAAAAACACCGTTCACGTCGGACGTTTCACAACTACAGGTTAAGTGTCGAGTTCCAGACTCAAATGAAAAACACACAAAGACGCGACAAAACAACGGGGTTAAAACATGAAAAAACTTTTTTTTTTCTTTGAGACTGAAAGCAACAACCACAGTCTCACTACTGCTTCAGAGTTTCGACGAAAAGTAAAAACCACGGGAGGAGAGCAGGCTGTGGGAAGTTATCGGGAAAAATTTGGGTTTCTTCAGTCTTCTTCTCTTTTCTTTTCCGAATCGGAGGAGGCCGAGGGTTTCAGTGGAAGAGGACGCTGGACCGCTTGCAGGTTGTACTGGGATCCAGATGCGAGCAGAAAAAGCCCTGGTGGACACCCAGGAGTGAGAGCAAGTTCCGGGGGACAAAGACCTGGAGATCAGGAACACCAGGGGTGGAGCGTGGAGCAGGGGCTTCCAACCAACCCAGGAGCTCTCTCCCACTTTAATGTTTAGACTGGAGGAAGCCGCGCTTGAAAATCAGGACTGGAGCTGAGGGTGGAGCTACACGGTGGCATAACATGTGGGTATGACCTATTACTGGCCCACATGACATAAAGAAAAGACTCATTTAGATATGCAAAAGTGCTCAAAATCACAGATCTCTTTCACAGAAGATCCAAGTCTGACCTCTGCTTTGAGCAGGGATTTCTTATCAGTTTTTTTTTCTTTTTTGCTGTTAGTGTTGAGATAAGAGTAGATAAAAGTCCTTGGAGTCAAACAGGCTTACACACACAGTCTTAACAGATATTAGTGACAATAAACCATTTTTATCTCTGTTTCTAGGCCACCCCAAGGACTTGAATGATAACCAGGACATTTTGTAACCACATCTTATCCAAGGTGGGGACCAGAGACCAGTGTGAAGTCTTTTAAGTCTTCACCCAGACGCTTTTATTTGAGTCCAGTACATTAGAGTTTGTTTAAAATGGGTGGGTGAAACCGTGGCCAGTGTTTCTGTAACAAGGAGTCAAAAAAAATGACAGGGCCCGCTCCTTACACAAACACGATCGGGCTGTCCTGTGTTAGCAATGGGGCAGCTGTGCTTCGCACATCCAGCTGCCTGTCATATAGTGCTGTAAACAACAGTAAGCAGCTTGCTGGAAACATGGTAGCAGGCTGTAGAGGTGGACTGAGATTGCACTCGCATCTAATGGGAGATGTATAAATCAGTGAAAAGCAGATGCTCACTGAGATGAAATGAGGAAGAATGCTTTTTTTGTTTAGACAAAAAGCTGCTGGACATGTTTGAAATGATGCGTCCTCCTGTCATGTTTTAGTTTTTTAAGCTGCACTTTGTTGGCGTCTGTCTGCTGGTGTTGTCATGCTGTTCTTTGCCTCTAACCTTTGTCCATCTCGCAACGCCGGCAAGAAAAGAGGAAAGAAAAAAACAATCTGAGTTTATTTAGCACTGAAAAGATTAAGCATGTGAAAAATTCAAAGTGTCAACCTCTTAAAACACCAGAACCCTCAAAAAAAAGGAGAAAAATAATTCAATTCACAATCAGAAGCTGCACTATTTGCTCAATTTCAGCAAGGATGAGGTGCACTACAGTCTTTTTTATGCCAAAAGTAGCATTGACAAGATTTTTGTACCCCCTGCATTTAAAAATGCCCGGACTTGTGCACATGTCCGTTGGTTTGGGGAGGGTGCGGGGGGGTTAGCGATCAGCAAAATGACATTCCTCCTTTTGTGTCCACATTCCTCAGGCGGCTCCACTCATTCTGTGTGACTGCGGCTGCTGCAGGGGAAGCCAGGGGCTGCTGAGGAGCAGGAGAAGGAGGAGGATGCTGGAGCTGTGTATGCATGGGAGAGCGTGGGCCCGGCGCTCCTCTCAGCGGGCCAACAAAAGGTAAGAAAATGGTCCAGTGCCATGGTAATTAGACGTGAATGAGCTTTGAGCGACATGACATGTCTCAGGCCTGTCTCTGCAGCGAAGGAATTTCAACATCCAGCTTGGTAAAAATTGGACTGGACTTTGGGGGGTGGGCGGGGATGTGGCCGTGCACTTTTGAGCACCTGAAGTACATTGTTATTTTAATTTATATGCAGTGTTTAATGACCCCTCTGGCTCGTGAAGGTACACAAGCCCGAACATCTTTGTGTGGCCATGAAAAAAGGGCTGAAATACATATTCATAGGGGAGTCAATCACTCAGGCAGAAAATGCAACAATTCCTAATAGTCAGCAATTCTCACTGTTCCTGCTGACTAACATCACATTGACCTTTCACTCTCATAATGCAGGCTGTTCCAACATTGCCCCAATATTACCCTAAGAAAACACATGGACTCTGCATCTCAATGGGCCTGTATGCCCATTCTCCAGCCTCACATTAGCATTCAGAGTATACTCCCCCCTCCCCCTCCATCCCGGGCTAGCTGCTGCTCTCTCTGCAGCCGGCGTTTGCTCATCTCCTTATAATCAGCCTCCCGTTTACATCTTAAAAGCTGCAGCTCAGGAGAGAAAGGCACAGCTGGATAATAATGGCGTTTTTATCTAGCACTGCCGAGCAGAGGGTGTGTGGGTGTGAAAAGTTACAGCAGAGAATCGGGGACACAGAAATGGGATTTTGAAGTGCGTTTGCTGTGACAGGCGTGTTATCTGCGGAGCTGTGAGTGATTGGCCTTGTTAGGGAAGAAGACAGGCTTTAATAATGGAGACGAAACACAAACACTTGGGACTAATGAACCCTGGTTCACTGCTGGGTTGTGGATGAGTATAGCTACCTGGTTAAATTAAGCTCAGGAGGTTAACAGACTGGGTCAATAGAGAGAAGCCCCACAGAGAGGGACAGCGAGGACAGTAGTTCATAATCTGCTGGGAGTGAGAAAATACAGATCCAAAGAAAAAACACATAATCCACGTGCTGCTTTGAGGACTCAGAGCAACGAGTGCAGTCCAGAAACACATAAATTTCATGATTCATGACTCGCTTTGAAGTGGATCAGTAGCGAAAAGCACAGAAAGTAATATATATGCCTGGAACATTGTGTGTGCAATTTGTAATCGCAGCAGCGTGCCATCCATTTAATCCTTGTTTTTCATGGCATTTTAAGGATTATTCCATACCCAAAAAGCCAAATCTGTGAGTTGGAATCTTTCACTTCATGTTTTTGGGGTTGTTTTTCCACTTTCCTCCAACAACTTAGCATTGAGCTGTTGGTAGCTTTTAGTCCAAACATTTGCTCATTCTGCCATTACTCTCACGTAAAACAAGCCTGACAATCAAGTTAATCTGCAACTTAATTTTACTTAATTCATTCAGCCTGACACTACATCCATGTCAATCAGTTTATTCCTGGAAGGGGGTGTTTTCTTTTGCCTCAACTAATCACAAGTGAATGACTTTTGACCTGCCAACATAATGTTCAGTCAACAAAGAAGTCATGGGAGTGCTCGCCTGGAGCAGAAAGACACTTTTTAATGTTATTTGAGTTTATTAACAGTAGCGAACTAACATCCATCAAGTTCATCCATGCTTGTCCACACAGCAAGTGGTTCTTATATAGTGCTTTTCTACTCTACCTGACCACACCAAGCACTTTTTACATCTTGCTGCATTCTTTACCTATCTAACATTCACACACATTCATAGAAGCTAGAGTAGAACTGGAGGTTAGCATATTGTGACTGTGCAGACGGATGGAATAGCAAATCCATCAGATTCTTGGGTCTTAATGATAGAGCTGTGACACTAAAAAGTCTGCTAGCTTACACAGTCAGCATTTTTGCTAGCTCTACTTCTTATCCTTGTAGTAGCTCTATCCATTCTTATTGTTCAAAGCACTTAAAGTGCCCACACATTCATTCAGCACTTTTTATACTAAACTAGTGTGTAGTACTTTTCCTGTTACACTCATACCACTGAAATATGCTTAGTGTTAGCAGCTAAGCATATTTCCACCCCCTTCGTGTCTTAATCTTCATTTCTTGCTTCATTGCTAAATGCTTAGCTGAATACGCTAATGCTAATTGCGATGCTAATATCTTAGCTTAAAAACACATTGCCACAGGCACAAAACATCAAAACAGATTGAGTTTATTTTACAATGTATTTTCCCCATCGACATTCAATTGAGAGAAAAACAAACACATCATTATTTCTTATGACTCCTAGGTGGGACACTGGCCAGGGGTCTTGTAACTGGCCATAGGAGACAAAAATCAGGTGGCGCTAGTCAAATAATTTAGGCCTGCACTTTGTTTAGGCATTCCACTGCCAGGACCCTGGTAGTCGGCATGCTCGATCGCTGATATGACTTAGCTGTACACCTGTGCTTTTCCTGACATGACAAGTCAAACAGTGGGCCATGGGCAGACTCAGCACTCGCAGCTGTGGAGTCAGCTGTGTGGTAGCAGCAGCACCATGTTAAAAAACCAAACAAATGAAACAATAAGAATCTCACTTTTGCTTTTAACTCAAAAAGCACAGAAAAAAAAGATTAAATACAGAGGCCATCCTTGGAAATGTATGAGACCAGTGCAACATAACAAAATTAATGTACACGTTTTTATACATATTTATATTTCACATTAATGATCGCTTTATGCACAGTGCTAAAGAGTAAGCTAGAAACTGCAGCAAGGCTTCACAATCCGGCCAATAATTAGTCCAGAAAAAAACAAAATGCCAGTATTGTAAATAAACACGTTAATGTAAACATGTCACCAACACAGAGAAACATACACCTGTACAGTTATCAGGCTGACTTTGGAGACTTATATTCGAATGATAGCCCTTGGATCCTTTTTTTTATTATAGGGCTGTTACTGTTTCTAAAAAAAAGTGCACCAGCTTTACAAAACAGAGCAAACAGTGATGGTGGGAGTGTGAAGGAAGCAGTCGGTAATAATTTAGCTATCACTACGACATAAACAATCAGAGAGAAGGGTGAGTAGTAGCAGAGCATTTTAAGGAACAGTGCATGTTTAAATAAGTGATTCATTGCATCATTCAGGGGGAAGGAGCTCACTAAAACTGACCAGATAAAGTCCAGCCCTGGCAGGAGGTCATGCTCTGCCACGAAGGAAAATGACAGCAGCTGATTTCGTCTTCTTCCAGTTTGTACCTGCTGGGCTGTGACTCAGTACAGACTGAGCGGGAGCATTTATTTATTTATTTTTTTAAAAGGCCCGTTGTGTGCTAGGTCCTTTATATGTCTAAAAATGAGTCTCTCCATCACTTTGTTACATTACATAAGAAGTGAGTGTGAGAACAGAGGTGAGGCAACAGGACGCAAAAGTTGAAATAACCATTGTGGCAGCGGACCAGTGGGCAACTTTCTAATTTACACAATGGCGTCTAATGTGCTTTAATAGGTTTGTTAAGAACACAGGTTGAACAGGTTCTTGTTCAGACAGATAAAGAGAAATGTAGCATTTTCTGTTGTTCATGTGTCCTCTGCTGAGCCACTAAACTTTATATCAGGAACAAGAATTCCAAAAAAGGTTTGTCACATTCCACACATTTTGTACTGAATCCTAGGGGAAGAGGTGATGGGAATGCATGGGTCAGTGGGGATAGACCGGGAACAGACTGAGCATCAAGGAGAGGATTGGAACTAGGTAGCTCCTCCACAGTGGAGCCGCGAGTGAGGAGACGCCTCCCATCCCAGCTGTAGCCAAACGAGGGGTTAACAGCTGCTCCTGGAAGGTGAAGTCATCCATTGCCAGGTTATCAGAAAGGTCTAAGGAGGGAGACAGACGGAGTCAGAGACGGAGGAGATGGACAGAAGATAATGAAGGAAGGTGAAAGAATGAAAAATATGAGAGAAGCAGGAAAAAGAAGAGGCAATTAGAAATAAAGGCTGCCACAAAAGCTGAAAAACACATGTCTGTCATCTTTCTGCATGATATCTGACACAGCTGTAAAAACAATGTTACATTGGGAGAAACCCAAGCTGCTCATATAACCAGATGTTGCATGTTATTGTTGTAAACACGTGCTGAATCATACAGACATAAATTTTGCTGATAGCAAGTGCTGAAATGTGGTGAGATGCTGAAAAACAAAAAATTAAAGTGAAAAACCACAAAAGCCGCCTAAGGTCATGTCGAAAACTTAATGTGAATCATCTGTCACAATTTAACTGACATTTTAGTTAAAACAAGACTACGGCAACAACCCTTCATATTGTTGTTCTTCATATATACTGGTATTTTCCCTCACAACCATCTCTAGGGTTTACTGTAAACAGTAAAAAGGAGATAACACCCAGTGAGCAGCAGCTCTCTGGGTGTTCTGGGTGTCAGAGGAGAATGAGCAGACTGCTTCAGGCTGATAGGAAGTCAACAGTAACTCAAATATCCACTTGTTACAACCAAGGTATGCAGAAGGGCATCTCTGAACACAGAACACATCACAACACTTCAAGCAGAAGACCACACTGGTCTCACTTTCCTGTCATTTCCTGACAGGAAAACGAGGCTACAATTTACACAGATTCACAAAAACCAAACGATGAAAGGTTGGAAAAATGTTGTCGGTCTGATGAATCTCGATTAATGCTGTGATATTTGGATGGTAGGGTCAGAATTTGGTGTAAAGGTCATGAACACATGGATCCATCCTGCCGTGTATCAACTGTTTATGTCAGTATCAGTACTCAGTTAGGTTCAGTATTTTCTTTTGGATTCTTCCAGCAGGATAATGCACATCATAAAAATCAAGTAATCTCAAACCGGTCTGTTGAACATGACAGTTAGCTCACTGTATCCAAATGGCCTTCACAGTCACTAGATCTCAGTCCAATAGAGCATCTTTTGGATGTGGTGGAATGGGAGATTTGCATCATGGATGTGCAGCTTAAAAAATTCTGCAGCAATTGTGTGAGGCTACCATGTCAAGATGGACCAAAATATCTGCGGCAGAGTTTGAGTTGCTAATTCAGCTGTTTCTGCTGCTTCACACTTGGCAGCAAACTGTACAAGTGCAAGGTTGAGATTATCCACTAATGAAGCCAACAGAACCACATCTGCAAAATGCAGAGACGAAATCCTGCAGCCACCAAAGTGGAGACCTTCCGCCTCAGGACTTGAGAAATCGTCAGTATATTACGCCTCGGGAGTGAAAACGGGCTGGTCATCCGGCTGTGCTTTCTCTATGGGAGGCGTGCCAATGGGATGGACACAATCCTCAGATCGTTCCTTCTGCTGACCAACTATCCCCAGTTGAAGTCAGCACCAGTGTTACTAACTCTAGCCAAAAGAATAAAAACATACTTTTCATCAAATAAATCTACAGTGATGTTTTTTTCTCCCCTTTCTTCCAAAGGTAATTACTTATTATCTTCAAGGAAGTTGCATATTTCTACTTACTACATGTAAAAATGACTGAGTGCTTTACATGAGAAAAAAAGTTATATATAGCTTAAATATTCCTACCCAAAAAAGCAAAATGAGCCATCATCAGAAGCACATATGACAGTCATGTGAGTATAAAATGCATCTCAAAAATCTCATAAAATGGTTAAACTTTTACATGTTTACTAAATTTAATATATCCCAAAATTCTCTTCCACACAGAACAAACAATTGCTGTATTCAGACAGTCAATATTCAGTACTGTCAGAGAGAAATCACACAGATGAAGACACAGAATACAACCTGTAATTAGATTGTCTCATCAGTATCATGTGGCAACCAAATGAGCTGTAATGTTTTCCTCTCATCATTCTTCTTCTATGATTATGTTAATCTTCTGTCAAATGGTCTGCTTCCCCCCCCCTTTTTTTTTTTTTTTTTTTTACAGATTGTGAAATGTTATTATTGTGTATCAGTTACCATTTTAACTATCTGATATGCCCTTTTGGTTGTTTTGTTTTTTTACAAAGGTATATTGAAATGTAATCTCTCCCGTTATTGAGTGCTGCTTTGTTTTTCATTCAGCTTTTTGTTCTGGAAATGCAAACTTTTGTTTCCAGTGGAAAGTTGTCACCTTTTCTTATTGCTGCATTAACTCTTTCATGCAGACTGTGCATTTTTTTCCCTTGAAGATGCACTGTCATTGCCAAGTAGCAGTTTTGTGCTCAGCACTGTATATGAACGTAGTGCTGATGAGAGCACAGGAAGTATGGTTGCTATGTTGTTGCTATGAGAATTCACACACACACACACACACACACACACACACACACACACACACACACACACACACACACTATATATATATATATATACGTATATACACACACATATATAAAGGAGAGAGTTGACATATTTAGGAGAAAAACATTTGTGGAGATAAACTGGAATCTTTTTATTTATTTCATTATTTCTCATGTGAGATTAAAAATAAAATAATATAAAAAAAGAATATCTAGGTTCGTCTTGACCTTGAAAAAAGACTTTTTGTCCCTGCTGTTTTCTCAGTACCAGGGTGCCATCACAGGATTGTTGCCGCTGTATTTGTCATTGCTAAGCTAACCTGTATTTACATGTTTACTGGGGCAGAAACACATCTGTTAGCGGTTTAGCCTAGGAAATACCTGCTTACACACTTGAGCAACAATAAGTTACTGTGCTGTTATTGCTGATAAATAAGTGATTAGGGTGAGGAAGTGATAGAAAGTATGCTATTAATTTTCATAATTTTTACAGGTCTGCAACCAAGCATAAATGTTTGGAAAAAAAAAGTTAAAAAAGAACAGATAACGCACCAGTGGGCAGTCAAGTGAAAAAGCCATCTGAGCCAGCGGGGATCAGTGTTCATTAACTGATGGATCCGGCTTCTAAAACACATCTGATGTGGCTTGGACCTTGGAGTCCATCAGAATCAGCTAACGCTCAGGGTTTATTGTATCGCACATGCACTGCGAGCGCACCAGGGATAATATGGAGAAAATTAGAGTTGTGCGAGGTTTATGCACTGTTTGCCTCTGGTGAAAGCTTCCATTTAAGGCATACTGTTATTTTTCACTTTCATCTCTCCCTCTGCAGATACTGTAATGATGCCCTGAGGCAACGCAGGTAACTCATTTGCTCCAATGGGGCTGCTTGGGGCTTAGTGTCACTATTTTGTGGATGTGAGTCAGAGAAAGATAATCTCTTTTCCTATTTTTCTCCATCTGTTTTGCGTGCTGCAGTGACTCCTTGGCTACCTGCTGCTCTGATGTTGCTTACTGCTCTCTTGCTGCACTGCATCCACATCTGTTTCCCCCCTGACACCGAGCAGATCACCCTCCCTTTGTGTGAAATATTCTGTGCTACTTTGTCTGGCAAAAAGCTGTGAGAAAGGCTGAAATATAAAGGGTGAGCTATTAGGGAGGCCAGGAGGATATCAGTAATAAAGCAGCAGTACAGTTAGGAATGCGAGCTATGAGTTGAGCCGCCCTCTGTTAAACCAGACACAAACACACACACATGTGCGCAGGTGGACTTCTGACATAGCTTCCTCCCACACACTCCTGATGGTTGTGCATACATTCTCATCCTCACACACACTCATACCGCACGGTCACATCTGAGCTCCTAAAAATAACACATTGCTCCTAATTGAATTAGCTGTCTCATCTGATCTGTGTACTGTTCCCCCTCACGGCAGCGATCCAGCAGGAGGAAGTGGCTGATCTGAGCCGCTGTGTGATCACAGGGAGCAGTCAGGAATCTGATGAAAGCTTCGCCCTGCTTTACTTGAGTAAAAACACAACAAACCGCCTAACTGTGTAGCGCCTCAGGCTCCTACACACTCAGGCACCATCTTGAACAGAGAAATACACTCCAGTTCAAGCATAAAAACGACTCCTAACTCAGCAGACAACTTACAAATAACCTGTTTCAAACTGCACCTTTAGCCACTTCGTTATTAGCAGCCTGTGGCAAAATCTTTTTTTTTTTTTTACATCAACAAGGTGATTCCCAAAGAGCTATTAGCTGACACCTTGGCATATCTTGACGTTACGCACTTTGTGTCCTGAAGGAAATGAGAAGAAACCCTGACTAAGAGAGTCCTGGCTGTGTTGAAGAATAAACTTTCAAGCTCATTAGAATTGTATAAACTCTGTTGGTGCTTTACATATAGTCTACTTCCATGTATGTTTGCACACTTCCTATTGTTCTAGCAAAATGCAAAGAAATGAGTGGCTCAAGATTTTTGCACAGCACTGTAAATGCACTCCAGAGCTTCGAAATGCATCTCCTACAAATTTCTTTGCCGTTACGACATCATTTGAATGGCGGCCAGGGGACAATTGACTTTTTTTCCTCCTCCTGTGTCCTCTGACATGGCAGTGGGCAGGCATTCTCTGGGGCTCTGAAAGAACGATTTGTCACTGTCGACAGCGGCGCACTGTACTGCCGAGCCAATTAAGCTCAAGGTGCAATTTGATACAGCTTTTATATACACTGTGGGTAAGAGGGAGGGCAGGGTCTCGGGCGGGGTCTCGGACGGGGGTGGTGGGGGGGCCGTTTGCATGCGCGTTTGCATTTGTGGAGTTGTGCGGGGATGATTGAGTGGGGTGTGCGCGCACGCCCGTCCCTATGTGTGGTTGTGAAAAAGCCGGAGACAAAGTGGGAGAGCATTGTGTTGGTGTTGCTTTACAACGGCAATAA